CGGGCCGCCGATCGAAACACGTTTTCGCCACTTTGGCGGTCATGGTGCATATTTTTAGGAACTGGACTTGCATCGCACGGACGCGCGCCGCCGCCGCTGCGTCAAAGTAATCAAATGTAGCGCCAAAACCGGGCGGCACAACGAAAAAAACGGGAGGGTCAGCTTGGGGTGAGTTTCCGTTTTTTTTTTCGGATGATTTGTACCCGCCTGCTTCTCCACGGTGTGGTTGACGCACTTCCGGCGAGTTTCCCTCCGTTCGGCGGTCGTGGGCGACGCGGCATCCTGGCCACCGCCTCGGCCACCGCCGAGGACAGGACGTCGTCCTACGTCATCCGGTTCCGATCCACGTCGCGCACCTTGGACGTTCCAACTGAAAAATAAGAATCGAATTTTGGAAGAGCACGAACATTAAAAACGCTAAGTTTCTTGCTTTTTTTTGCAGGGTAACACTTTATCCGGTGAAATGCAAGGGGTTGGGAGGGTGCCTAGGGGTGGCGGGCGCAGCCTCCAGGGCCTGCGTGGCTGGCGTGGCTGGCGCGCGCTGGGAGGGAGGCGATATGCTGAGCAGTTTTGCCACTCTGTGCGCACAAACAGGGGTCCGCACCCCCCGCGCCCCGCCATGTGGGTCCTCCATGCGTGCTTTCCACAAAGAAGACTTTTTTTTTCGGCCGCAGACTCCTTTTTTCCATCATAGCTACACTACGCGCCCGCACACCACCCCGCCGCCGCCACCGCCGCCACCCTTCTGGAAAAATATTTCCCCCAAGGACCAACCGCCAAATCCAATGCCACCGCATTCTTGACACGTTGCCATTTGTGTGTGTGTGTGTGTGTGTGTGTGTGTGTGTGTGTGTGTGTGTGTGTGTGTGCAGTGCGCACGCTGAAAGCGCTGACGGAGGGACGCCAGTCGAATGAGCTGAAGGCCTTGGCAAGCAAGCCGGCTGCAGATGCAATCTGCCAGTAGCTGGCTGCTGCTGCACTGTGCGGCTGCAGCGCTGCAGCCGTTTCGCCGCAGGCATGCGCAAGATACCTGAGGACAATAGATACCAAGGCACTGCAGGCGCTTCTGCAGTGGCGGCGGCAGCGGAGGCGGCAAGGGTCCCAAGGGAACTCTGGGCGCGCGGGGGGGAAGGGGGGGGAGGGAGAGGAGAATGCACGGAGAAGGGCTGAAGTGCCGTAGCGTGAATGCCAGGCGGCCAGCCCAGCAGGCAGCCAGCAGCGGGGACCAAAAAGGTGCTTTGGGACCAACCCCACCAGCCGAGCCACCCAGAGCTAAAAATATGGCGGCGATTCCCCTCACTTTGGATTCTTTTCAACAGACGCGCACGTGTCGGTGAATCCCTTCTTTTACAAATCACACATTTTTTTTTTCCAGAGTGCAAATTTTCCTCGGATGTGATTTCAATACGCGGCACGCTCGCGCGGCCAATTCCGCCGCTGTCCCGGTCGCAGCGTGCGGAAATCGGGCGAGAAATCGGTTCGAAGGGGTTGCCGGCGCTGCCTCCAGCTGGGCGGCAGCATGTGTGGCGTGCACCATGTCGTGGGGTGCAGGGGCCGAATGGCACTGGGGAGGGGGAAGGGTTGCGAATCCAAGTGCTCATTCCGGGGCCCAAACTCTGGTGCAGGCCACTGCGAGGCTCCCGGAGGCTCGACTTGGCCTGCATGCCTCCATGCAAGGCAGTAATGGCACCCCTGGCACTTTGCGCAATGCACTGCCTTGCCTCGCCACGCGGTCTGATTGAATACGAAAGGGGCGCGAGGCTCAAGATGGCGCCCACCCTCTGCCAGTCTTGTTGTTGCTGCTGTTGTTGTTATTGTTGTAGTGTAGGGCCAGACTGTGCGCTGAATGATAATCAACTTGCATCACAGAGGGACTTTATTCTGTCCGCTGTTGCGTCGGCGCGTCGCCGCTGCTTGATGCCTTGCAATTTTAATTTCGTTCAGCGCGAAACGTAATTAGTTTCGAATGGAGCGGGAGGAAGGCCGCCGTCTCGCTGCAGCAGCCCCCCCCCCCCCCGCGCGCGCCCCGCCCAGCACGGCCCCACCCCGCCTGTGACCTCATCAAACGGCCAGTTCATGCACTCCGCAAGAAAATGTTGGTCGAGGACTGACGTCGGTTTCCATTTTTCAAGACCTTGGAAAATCTCCTCTGCAATATGAACCAAAATGTCGGGAGAGAAACACTCGCAGTCGGAATATCGCAGCAATTTGATTCTTTTTGGCGCGCAGGGAACGCTCAGCCGGGAGGGCTGGCGGGAGGGGACGCCGGAGGGAGGCTTCGCGCATCGGGCGCGGCAGGGGAGGGGAAGGAGGGGGGATTCAATTTCCGACCGATGTTTGTTGAAAGCTAGCAGAACGGTGTGTGGCGCGCGGAGTAAGGGAGACAGACGCGGTGGACTAAGCCTACCCACTCTGGACAAAAAATATTTTTTCGTCTTTTTTATTTTTTCAGACTGAAACTTTTGTATTCACATCTAGATTTATTCAAAAAATAACACAATGTGCGTGATGGCTGGCAATGCGGGCAGAGTGAGGAAAGGGTGGAGCGCTGTGGTTTGGATGGGGGTGGCAGGGGAGGGTGAGGGCGAGGCAGGGGGAGGGGGGGCTAAATGGATTAGTGTTGTGCATGGAGGTAAAATGCCCGGCGGCCCGGCGGATAAAAGCAAGCAGCAGGGGATTTCGTGATTGGCGTGGTGTGGCGTGGCGTGGCGCGGCGTGGCGGGGGTGACTTGCAGGGGGGGGGGGGGTAGTCCCGTGGGGGTGGAGGCTACAAATGTCACGCAGTGCGTTGGATCTGTAAATTCCTCCGGGCTGTCTGCAGCACGGCCTCATGCAGCCGTCCGCACACAATGCCCTTGCGGCTTTCTCTTTCCCACCCCGAAGTACAGCCTGAAGGTGTACAGCCGCTGCCGAAAGCACAGACCGGGCATCTGGCGCGGCGGCGGCGTGGCATGGCGCGCATGCGCTTCTTCTATCCCTTATGTAAATGTTATCGTACGTTGCCCCGACAAGGACTGGCCTGCTGAATCATGTGGCCAGGTCCGGCCTGGGCCGGGCGCGCCAAGCACCCCCACCCCCTGGCCCGCCAGGCATTTGGCACATGGCTGCCTGCCTCGGCCCGCCGCCATGCTGCTGTGCTGTTGCCGAGCGCGGCAGGCCGGCAGGCCGGCAGACCCACGGTCGCAGTCCCCTGTCACCATCCATACTCGCGAAATGTGATTCAGTAATCCGATCTTTCCCCCAAGAGCGGCGGCGGCCAGCCTCCGACGGAACAACCGCACCACCTCCCTGCTGAAATATACAACAATAACTTATCCCGCTTCCGCCGGCCAGACTGCAGGAGTCTCCTAGTTTTTGGCCGCCTCCGTCCGAAGTCGTCTGCGCGTTTTTGCCGGCCGGCTCCACGTTTACGACGCAGCGTTGGGTGGCCGGCAAACAGAGCGCACCGAGTCGAACATGTCACACTTTCGCGTGCACTACTTTCACGCGGGGCGGGCTCACGTCTTGAATGGGAATCGGCGTGTCGGAGAGAGACAGAGCTAACGGTCCGCATGAAAGGGTGATAGGGTAATGCGGCGAGGCGACGACTCCAGGTCAGAGACGCTACTTTGTTTACGGTAAATATTTCCTGTGCGAGCGGCTCTTCCTTGTCGAAACCTCCCAAGCAGCGCGCCGACCTAACGGGATGCTCTCCTTCCATCGGGACGGGAGCCGCGCCGCCCCGGCGATACCATGTACCGCGCGTCGTTACAGTTAGTGCGTATGGACACACTTTGGAAAAAAGAATCAAGCGTCTCTATTTATCCGATCGGAGAGGAAAAAGAAAATCCCTCTGCGAGTGTGCGCGCCGTGCCGCGACGCAGCAGCTGAGTGCCCAGCACATGGTACCCACTCTCACGCGCCCTGTGTGTGCGCGCGTACGTGTGTGTCCGTGTGAGCGTGTGTGTGAGTGTGTGTGTGAAGTCTATCGGCCGTGAAACCCTAAACACTCATCGCGGGCATTCGGCCGCCACGCTCGTATTTCAAAAAGCGCCGCCGCCTCAAAAGGCCAAAGTCAAGAAGGATGTGACAGATTTCTTCTGCGACAATAATCTTTGTGTTCCTCTGCTCCCCCTCAGGTATTTCGAATCGCCTCCCCAGCGTCCCCCGGCTGCGTGCGAGGCCGCTGCCCTGTCGATGCAACTGCAATCGTTTCACAGGCCGACTCTCGTGCTGTCGTCGGTCGACCTCACCCATGAGTGCGACAGAGACACCCCGGCCAAACTGCAGTCTTTGTACGCGCAGCCTTGCCATTGGCCCTGTGCATTAGGATTAAAAGGCCCGCCGAAACGTGGCTTTTTTTTCTCCGTCGCTCCTTCCCGCGCCTCGCGGTGCTGGCGGTGCTGGCGGTGTGCATCCCCAGCATTGAGCGCGAGACGTTGGCGGCCCGCTAACGGGACGTGAAAAGGCCGTCCGTCTCTTCCAGCCAAATGGAGACGTGGCCGAACGCCGAACGCGCTCTTCGCGCCATAAGCCTCGGCCACGGGCAGCCACGGGCAGCCACGGCCAGCAGCTGGATGGAGTTGTTAGCCGAGTCACATGGTTTCTCCATCGCTACCTGGCGCGCCGAGCAGCCGCCGCGTTCCGGGGGCCACTTTCCTCGCTCTGTCTCTCTCGCACCCACGGGGCGTTCCGCAGTGGTGCGAGAGAGACAGAGCGACGAAAGCGCGGTCCGAAATCAGCCCCCAGGCCCCATACAGCCCCGCGGCCGCCCCCGGGGGGTCCCGCAGCAGTCCCGCAGCAGTCCCGCGGGCCCAGCCAAGCGGATCCGGAAACGCGCCGAGAGATTTGCAAACCGTCGCTGTTTTCGTTTTCCAGCCCTGTCCTTGTTCCTTTCGCAGTGTCGGTAACTCGCCCTCCCCGTCTGTTCCAGAGGCTCGCTGCCGGCGGGCTGCCACCCCCGCCGCCACCCCCGCAGCCGCCGCCGCGTGAGGGCGCCTCCAGGGCGTCGCTCGCGCCTCCAGGGCGTCCGCAGCCCCCCTCCTTCAGACTGGAATGTGTCAGAGCTGCCGCCGCCCTGGACCTACGAGACTTAGCCCGCCTGCAGCTCTCTAACAGGTAAACTTATTCGCACGACGGCGTTGTCTGGGCCGGGGCATCTCCGGCAGACCAGCCCGCCATGCAGATGAGGCCGGCGATGGCTGCCTGCCTGCCGCGAGGACGGCTTACACCGAGCTCAGGAGAGGCCCGATTAGGCGGCCGAAGCTTGCTGACGATGTGGCACCTCACACAGAGAAGCACGTCGCAGGCCGACTCCAAAACATTGTTTCGTTGCTCTGTCCCTCTCGCACGCCCACGCGACGCCGCACGCCCCGCGAGTGCGAGTGAGACAGCAGCAGCCGTTTCGGCCCCAGCCTGCGACGCCGCAACTAAATGCGTCTTCGAGTCGGTGACGCAGTCCCGACGCAGTCTGACGGCTCGACGCGCCTGACGCCTGTTTGCCGATGGCCGCTCGTGCGCGCCGCGTCCTTGCCGTGACGCCCTTGCTCACGACGACGCGCGGCGTGCGGCTGCCGCGGCTGGTCACCGCGGCACGCGAAGATAATTTCAAGGAATGTCGCCACTGAATAGTTGTGCCCCATTTTACGTCATTGCGACACTGTTTTGAGGAGTCGTGTAGGGTCAGTGCGGAGAAAAACTGGACAGGGGAACCGGACTCCTCATATTTTACTTCAAATGTCGAACGCACAGGCTTAACAACTGTCATGTAATGAACCGCTGATGCCACGAAACAACTTTTGATGGTTGTTATGCCTGTGCATATGGGGTGTTCAGTTCTTCCCCTGTCCAGTTCCCTGTCCTGACCCTAGCCTAGCAGTGTCAGTCGCACCCCGAGGAGGTCGCATCCAGTTTCCCTGGATGTTTCCGAATGCAACCATCACGGCACACTTTTCCCCAAGTAGCCGCGAGGGGGCGGGGCGAGCTTGCTGCCTGAAACGTGCCCAATGAGCTGCTTCGCTTCGTGCGTGCCTATGTTCTCAGCGCCTCCTAGAACCCTGCCAACAAATTCAACCTGTCAAAGCCGAGCCACGAAATGCAAAGCGGCTCTCCGTCGTCGCTCCGTAAGCTCTCGGGGACTCTGGCGCGGTGTCCCGCCGGGCGGGGCGCGTTACACTCCCAAGGCAGCCATTGCATTATGCACCCCGAAGCCCCCGCAGCTTATCTACTTTCGCATAACGAGTTGCAAAATTATTATTATTTTTTTTGCCGTTTGATTATGACGAAAAGGGTGATGTAAATGAGACGACAGTGTCGGACACCTCGGCCGGCCATTGGCGATTCCGCACGCACGCGGCGCCAGCTCACGCGCGGCGCGCACGTCCCGCCGCCACGCACGTCTAGGCGACGCCGGTGGCCGCCCGCACGGCAGGCACGCCCCGCACGCAGCGGCGTCGATTGGGGTTCCTAATGTCTTGACGATGTCAACCAGCCAGAGACGAATTTTACTTGAATTTACGTCAATTCTAGGATCAGATTTCCCTTGGTTTTGGGGTGGCCGATGATCACTAGACAAGGGCAAAGAGTAACACCAAAAAAGGAGAACCAATTGTAAGGACCTATTTTTCTCTGATTTCTGTTGCAGTACACTCGGACTAAGAGAGAGGCAGGCGAGCGATTGAGTTGAGCAGAACGATTGTATCTTTTCGTTTAGCAGCCACGTCTAACTCATACTACACCATGTACGGGGCACGTTTGAGGTAAATTTTATATTTTTAAGTAACGCTGGCTTGAGGGTGGCAAAGTTTTGTTTTGGAAAGGGAATGACCTAACCTGTGAGTCTAACGCGAGGGCTGAGCACCGTGTAACCCGTTTAACATCGGCAAACCGCATGCTGCATTTGGAACGCACAACTGCTTCTAACTCGCCTAACCCATTTGTAAAACCCGAGAATCGGATTCAAAGTCGGGAAGCTACAAAAATAACAGCTGAAAAAGATAATGGCAAGGAAGTCCAGGACCTTCCACCTGCCGCGACACCCCATTTCATAAGTCGGACTTTCTTCGGCGAAGAAGAGCGCCCTTTTTATGGCGCGTTAAAGTGTGCGTGTCAGTGGGGCGCTCAATCGAGCGACGTGACCGGGGCCTGCAGGGCTGGACCGCGGCCGGACGGCCGGCCGTCGTAAAGACCCGCCAATTGCATCCATATTCCGTCGATGCCATTTTCGGGCCTTTCTTCGCCTTCGTGGGGATGGCGTGTGCGGACAGGCGCGTGCCCGGACGCCCTTCGGCCGGACTGGCCGGTGACTCAGTTGCCTGCCGCCGACCTGGCCGGGCCTCGAACCTGCGCCCAGTGCCCCGAGCCCCTTTTACGAGGCAAATCATCCGATTCCAAGTAATTCTTTCGTCGCCGTGACCCATCCCCGGAGCAGCGCTCCGATCCGGAGGAGCCATTCCACCCCTCTCTCGCGTCCTCACGGGAGGCTCCACGAGGGCGCCACGACGGGGAGACTCTTCGGCTGATGCTGATGAGCCCCGACCAGGAAAAGCTGGCCGCTCGGTATCACGGCGTCATGGGTTTCTTTTAAACATCAGCGTGAATCCGAGATGGCGGCGCGGGGAGGCCTGCCGGGGGCCTGGCCCGGCGGCGGGGACATGTTTGATGCATATGTGTGAGAGGGGAGCCGCGGGGGTGGGGCGCCGCTTGCGCCCTCCTGAGCCTCGGCTGGCTGGCTGGCTGGCTCACACGCGCCGCGCCAGTTGTTGATCCCAAGCGTGTTTATCCTGCAAACAAAAGGGAACACAACACAACACACACAGACACACACACACGGACACGGCGTCCCGGCGCGGGGGTGGTGGCGCCGCGAACTAGAATGCGCCCCTAAAAGTGTATTCCGGAAGTGGGAGGGCCGGGTATGCGAAATTGTGCGGCGTCATCCGATAAGTTGCGCGAGGCGGCCACGTGAAAATGCAATTTCCTGGTGGCCCTGCGCCGCGCTGCGCCGCCGGGGCCCAGACTCGGCGCGCCCTCACCCGTGGCGGGTTTGTCGTGTATAAATACACAAGCCGTGGGCGTGTGTGTGTGTGTGCCTGTGTGAGTGTGGGTGGGGCTAGCGCAGTTCCTAAATCTTAGCCTGCCTTCTAATTATTTGTCTTGCAACTCGGGAGGCCGGCGCGGCAGTCAGTAAAAGCCGCGGGGCCGAAAAAAAAATGGTGCACGTCTTGTAACGGTTTTCAACCCCAATGTGTGTTGCAGGTTGCCCTGCAGTTTCTCTCCGGCAACGCTGGCTAGCATCCAAGGTAAGCCCCGAACTCTGAGAGGCGCTTTTCTCGCCGCCTTTTCCGTGGAAATCCCTGCCGATTTTTCCTCCTCCGCCGCGAGTTTCTTTCCGGCTGTCGCGCCGTTACGAGAGAAAGCCGCGGTCCGTGCAAGCATCGCTCAATACGGGTAATTGTCCATGGCGGGCCCCTCATCGGTGCGGCACGGCACTGTAGGCACGGCACTGCAGGCACTGCAGCACTGCAGGCACTGCCAGCCCGCGCCGATCTGGGTCGGCCCGGCCGCCAGTCGGCCAGTGCTCTATGGCAATTTGCTGGGGAAGGCAAAAACACTTCCTTGGTCCGCGGTTCCGAAGAAACAAGCGGCGGAGGAGAAAAAAAGACGCAAGGATTTTGCTGATCGGTCACTTCCTCCGTAACGGAGAGAAGTGTCGCCAAATGAACCTTATTTTGCTCTTTTTGAAAAGTCTGTTGGTGTTGATGACGATCACAGAGTAATGCACTGAGAAGTTGGACGACGGTCGAGTCACTGCGATCGAGCGTAGGTTCGCCCAGTCACACTGCCGATAGAACGGGGGCGCATTTGGAAGCGCCTCATGCAGGCTCAGGAGCGGGGACCGTCCGGAGCATAATCAGATTCAAACAATTACTGCGGTAGGTGGTGCCGTGACGCCGCGAGCGGCCGTGCCGTGTTTACCATTCACGATTTCACAGTCGGCTGCATGAATTAATCCGAGCGGGGAAAAGGGTTTGGCGATGACGAAAAAGAACAAAAAAAAAGGCTAGAAAGAGACAGAGGGAAAGGAGAGATGGCGCGTAATTGCTTGGGACGGTCTCGAAGATGGCGGAGGAAGGGAGAGAGGACGGAGCCTGGCGGGCGACTCCGAACACCGCACTTCGGTCTCTCTCGCACTCACGGGGCGTCTGGTGAAGGCGGGAGAGAGACAGCACGCCGTGCTGAATCAGCCGGCCGGCCGGGCCGCGCGTTAGAGAAGCCCGCGAAGCGTGTAGCGGTGGATACTCTCGCCAGGCCGGCCAGCGCAGCTTCCTAGAATTCCTCTGGCCGTGCCCTACCCTCTCGAAATAGACTTTCTGCCGCCCTGTTTCTCACCTTTCCGAGGCCTGGAAAGCCTCTGCGTGTCGCCGTCCGACTGCGAGGCCGTTCCGAGAATCAAACTCGGCTTCCTTCATCAGCGCCGTGTGTTATTACGCCAGCAGGCCGGGTCCGAGGGGCAGTTCGGCAGCTCCGTCTCTGTCGCGCTCACCAGCCAGCCCACTGGGGCGCAAGAGAGGCAGCAAACGACTCTCCCGGAATCGCTCGGCGGGCAAGAAGTACATTTTCTTGATACACATCATCAGGGCGCTCGGGCCCCTCCTGCACTGCCCTGCACTGCCTGCAGCAAAGCGCTCGCCTTTTCTTGCTCTTGTTCTGTCCCTCTCCCCCTCCGATTTTCGCGTGTGTGTGCGAACGGAACGCCCCGTCTCCAATTACCGCCAATCATGGCCTGGCAGCAGCAGCGGCCAGCAGCACTGGCGAGCGGCGACGGCGACTGTCCTGAAAAAAAGAGGAGGGAAGACGGCGACGGATTTAAATTGTTAAATTATACTGATTGGAGCCGCGCGTCTGGCGGGTTGGCCAGCAGCAGCAGCAGGGTAGCACGTGACGGCCTGCACAGGTTTACCTGAAGAAAAAAAATGGAACAGAAATGATTTTGACAGTGGAGAAGGGAAGTGAAGCTGCCGCGCTGAGCTACGCCAGGATCAGTAAAGCGAGCTAGAAGGAATCAGGCCGCAGCTGTTCCAGTAAATTAGGCTTTCTGTGTCGCCATCATTGGCACGGCCAACCAGAGCACGGCGTCGAGGCCCCACGCCGCCCCGCGCCGCCCCGTACCGTTCGACGACGTCGTCCAGGACTGTCCCAGGGTCCGCGGGCAGTAATCACAGTGGTCGGCCTCGAGTCCGCTCAGTCCCTCAGTTCCTCAGTCCCTCAGACCGCTCAGACCACTCAGTCCCTTCAACTTCCCTCAGGCCCCGCAGCCGCTCAGACCCCGGAGGCTGCGGCAGGCTGGCCGGTGCTGCAGCCCGCCGCTTTGCAACAGACACGCCGCTCCACCGGCTCTGCTGGTCAGTGCTCTGGGTTGTGGCAGTCCCCCTTTCCGGAGCAGGATGCAAAGTTTGCGCGCACGGCAGACTCGGCCGAGAAAGAGAGAGAGGGGAGAGCAGCCGGGACGAATGGGCGACGAAGAGGGAGAGACGCGCCGTACCGGTCGGCCGGCCGGTTGGATGTTCGTTCCCAGGGCACCTCCAGGCTTCCGCTCGGGCCTTATTCCTGCCATGTGCCCGGGCCCCACGAGGCCCCACGAGGCCCCACCGGCACCGCCAGGTCGTGCCCGGACCGAACGCTTTTGAAACGGGACACCCAGCCTCCCCCTTTCCCGATTGGTGCGACGGGCTCCCCTGCGGTCGGGGCGCTCAGGAGCACCGCCTGCTTCACGCTGACGGGGACGTGCTCGGGGGTTGCCGACGACGGCGTCCGCTCGTCGGACTCCAGCCGGCCGTGGCCACATCTGCGAATGACGTCTCGAGACGTTTTTTTTTTTCGAGTGGAGTTCGGTGACTGGCCGGGGAATCGGCACAGCCGCGCCCACGCTCTGCCCGGCTCTGCCCCGCCGGACGGACGGGGGAGTGCTTGGCGTGCTCCGGGACTCCGGGGTGTGCGCGCGCCGCGGCGGAAACAGGGAATAGTAACAAAGTGTCAGAAAATGGGCGGCTTGGCCGGGCGGCGAGGGGCATTCAAATGAAGCCGGTTGGCTGGCTGCGCTGGCTCGCCTCGCACTCAGCGCGGCGGTACGGCGCCGCCATGCCGGCCGGGCAGAGGGGCGCGCAGGGCTTTTCCATCAGAATTTTTATTCTAATCGACTCGATTCCTATTCCAATCGGATTCCGGGGCTGAGGAGCAGCAGCAGCAGGCACGCAGGCCGGCCGGGGGGACGTTTAATAAACTACAAGAACGTTTGTTCCCTCTTACTCGCTCCCCTCTCCTGCACGGAGCCCCTTTCAGCAGACCCAATAAAAGGAATTGATTCTATCGATTCAATGAAAGAAAAAGCCCTGCAATCCCTTAAGCCCCTCCCCGGCCAACCCCGGCGCCTCACTTTCGCCTATCTCCTCCGCCCAGGCGCACACACACGCACACTCACACTCACACACACACGCCACGCAGAAAGCTGTATTTCCCATTTGGAAATAAAAAGCACTCAGTCAGCCCTATCGACTGTATAATCCAGCGCAGCTCTTCGGTGTCGTCATCGGCGGCCTTTAGCTCCGCGTCGAGTCGCTGATAACAGGTGTAGCGGCGGCGGGCGGGCGCCGTGACCGATCACCAAGATGGCGGCCTGGGTCCCGCCGCGACCCGCCGCGGCCAGGCTGTCTTGCTCGCACCCGTGCGAAGTACCGGAGCGGCCCGCGAGAGCGAGAGGGACGGACTCCTGGTCCAGCCTCGCGGCCCGCTACGGCAATCAGGCAGGGACGCTGCAATCAGGCAGCGCGCCGCCGCGCCGCGGCCTAGCCGGGGAGGCGTTCTCGGAAGCCGCGCGGCGCCGCGAGGCCCGCCCACTCCACTGGCAACGTGGCGCCGCGCGCGGCCTGCCCTGGGCATGCCCTGGCGCCAGGCGGAAGCGGGACTAATGGAGACGTTGCCTCTGCGGAAGTGAAAGGGGCGGGGCGGGGCGGGGCGGGGCGGCCTCGGCGGCGGCATGTCAGGAAGAGCGCCGCTCCGATATCGAGATGCACGGAGAGAGCATCATCCTGGATAGAGGAAAGCTCCAATATGGTCCATTTTCCTGCTGCCCACGAGTAGTTCGCACTGGACAGAGGCTTTTGTTGAAAGTCTAGGTTAGAACCATAAAGAAATTTTGTTAGTGAATTCCACATTTGATTGTTTCAATGAAACGTTTGAACTAAATCGTTGTTAAACTGACCAACAACGAATCCATTTCAAAATTTTTCTCAATTTTTTTTTTTTTATGTCGAGGTTGTTTTTCCCCGGGGCTTATCCCTTCCCGCTCCATCCCTCCTCCTCCTCCTTTTTCCCCTGCGCGAGTGTTTGTGAGGGGGAACCAGGTCGAACGGCGCCCGATTTTCGTCCGCTCTTTCCCCACGCTGCACGGCGCAGCAGCACAGGGCCTCAAGGCGAGCCTCTCGCGGCTGGAGGTCGTCCCCCCGCCCGCTGTGCGCTGTGCGTTCCCTTTTCCCCGAGACGCAAGGTCCGCGCCGAAAATCTGGCAGTCAAATTAGCCGCCCGGCGAAAAAGGCGTCGGGGGTTGTCCCCCGTCCTACTACAGTGTAAAGGGTAAGAAGCAGGGGCAATCTTATTCACGCCGTTTGGGCGATTGCGTATGCATATTGCCTAAGACGGACTGTGCGGCTCCAGAAAAACTTTTCTCTCACGTGATTTGGAGTTAAAATTTACGAGGCGTGGCCAGACAAAATAAAACGTAAACAGAACAAAAGGTCGACGGGTGTCGGCCCTGTGTGTTTTGTTTTTTTGTCGCCACGAATAGGTTTCGGTTGAGTGACAATTTTTCTATCCCTTACTTAATCCAAACGGCAAAATTCCAATTAATTTTCAAAACCAGTTGCACGTTCGTACTTTGAAGAACTTTTTATTAAATCAAAGAACTGTAGGGATTCTAGTGAAAATTATTTAGAGTCACTTTTAAAAAAGATTCGTATTCTGTCTGCAGTCTGGTCCGCAGTCCCCCGCTATCACAGACAAGTGCACTGCAGACAAAGTGGAAGTTTTTCTAAAAATAAATGATTGAAAAAGTCAACTTTGCATTGTGTCGGTCGCCGCTTTTCCCGCTGAGTGGGGTCGCCGGCATGGTGGTCGGGGTCGCCCCCCCCCCCCCCCTCCCCCAGCAGGCCCTTCAAAACATAAAGAGAGAGAACGCCAGAGTCTCTAGGCCCTGCCGAACTCCGAGACAAAACGAGCGCGCGTCGCTAGTTGGACACTTCCTGGTGGCGACCTCGTTGAAGGCAGTCCTCGTCCCCATTTTCTTGCTTGTGTGCCTCGAGAGCCCCGCGCGTCTCCCGCCGCGCCCGCCCCGCCCCGCCCCGCCCCGCCCCCGCCCCGCCCCGCCCCGCCCCGCCAGCCATGCGCGGCGACTCCTCCCCCTCCGAGCCTCAAAAGGGCCGCGCTCCCCTTTTCTCGCATAATGTAATGGCGAAATGATATTCATAGGGGTGCTGCAGCTCCACTGGAGGTTCCGCCGCGCGCCGACAGATGTCGCTGCGTGCTACTGTGCTTGCAGCAGGCTTGCGGTCGCGCGCCGCCCGGCAGGAGGAGGAGGAGGAGGAGGAGGGCGAGGCGGAGCGGCGGCGCGACGAGCGGCGCGCTGCAGGTGAAGAAGAGGACTGTCACGCAGGATGGAAAATCGGGCGTCCTTGCTTCGGCCTTGCAGTGCTACGCACCGGCAACCTTAAAAAAAGCGCCGTGTTTCATTCGAGACTCGCGTTTAGCGAACAGCTATTGACGCGTTCATGTTTTCGCGTGAATTTGTTACGCCCCACGATAGGCCCCACTCGTGCGGTTGTCTGTCGGTCTGTCTGTCTGTCTGTCTGTCTGTCTGTCCGTCCGTCCGTCCACCCCGTCGTCGCCCGGCACCACCTTTCCGCCTCGATTGTTCTCGCGAGACACTCGGCGACACCGCGCGGGAAAGCAGGCGGGCCGCCCCACTTCCGGGAGACAAAAAAAAAAATTGCGAAAGCTAGAAACGGAACTCACTGTCGAGCGTTAGGAAAATTCGAACAGGACGGACTAGAATGTTGCGCAGTCTCGATGATGAGCGAGGTAAACACAGCTTTGTCCCCGCGCTCCCTGTCTGTCTCAGCGTGAATCGCGCGCCGGAAATTTATGGGCGACCCTTCCTGCTCTTTTCCTGTCCGTCCGTCCGCCTGCCTGTCTGCTCGCCTGTCTGTCTGCCTGTCTGTCTGTCTGTCTGTCTGTCCGTCCGCCAGTTCGTCAGGTACGAGGATGTGCGCCGCAGGAGCGCCGCCAGCGTACGTTCGGCCGGCTCCCCATCCTTGAACGGGCCCCGCGGTGCCGTGCCCCGCCACTGCCCCGCCGCCGCCGTCTGTACGATCCGGAAGTACCACGCGATGATTGTGCCATTCCCCGAGCCGGGCGCAGTCGGCCAGAAAATGCGACGGCAGCGCGACAGCGCTCGACAAGCTCCGGGTCGAGATGGCACAACAAATTGTGCCGAGGGTGCCGGCTTGCGCATTGCCGCGCCGTACTGCCGCGCGGTGCCCGCGGCGGCCACACCTAGACCTGAATTTGTCGAGGCAATCAGTATCCCAGTAGCGGCGAGGCGACAGTGCGCTGCCTCCGTAAACATTTTTTTCCCTAGATTTTTTCTTACCGCTACCGTCTCTCTGTCATAATCAAGAAGCTCCTTGTCGGTGAAGATTTTTTCTAGTCAACCTGTAACGGTATCTAGCCTAACCTTTGATCGGGCCGCTCAGCTGGGCGCGCAGGGAAAGGACGACAGGGATGAGGACTGAGAGAGACAGGCAGAACGGTGGGAGGGAGAGAGAGGGAGAGGTCGGCGGGGTAGCAGGGCCATTACGCAACAATCGAGTGCCGATCAATGGGTTTACAGCTTCACTTTCACCGCAAGGCGCGTCGATAGACATAAACCTGGCCAAGACAGGTAGCCTCATTGAAACGGCGGCTGATTTATTTAGCACAAATAGTAAACAGCTTTACAAACGCAGCAGTCGAATTCGACCCAAATGGCCTAGTCCGGCTTTATGGCGTTGACCATAATTACCATAAAACGGTACTTATGCTCTCCGATCGGGTAGTTTGAATGCGGTGCCGTAAACGAGGGCCCCATTTTTTGCCCCGCCCCCGCCATGTTCGTGTGTGCCTCCTTCTTATTATTTGTTGGGCGTGACATTTCCGAGGGGGTCATATTGACATGCTTTTACTTTTGTTTTCACGCGCGTTTATGGGTCCAGGCGGCCCGGCCCGGCGCGGCGCGGCACGGCGCGGCGGTCACAATGCTCCCCATTGTACGCGGTGCGGGGGCGGCAGGCGGCGGCAAGGGGTGAGGCCACGTCGCGGCGCGCCGGCCCGGGGTTGGGCTGCGCCGCGCTGGCTTGGGTTGGGCCCTGCCGCTCCGCGGCCCTGCCGCACCGCGTCGCCATGCCGCGCTGCGCCGCCGCGCCGCGCCGCGAGTCGAGCCGCGCCGCCTCCGCGGCCACCGCGGCCGCCAGGCCACCGCCGCAGCAACACCGCCAGCGCGGCGGTGGTGGCTGGCCCGGGCTGGTCCTGCCGCCGCCGCAGCTCTGGAGCCCCGAGCGACGCCGCCGCCTCGACCCCGACCGCCGCGTCGGCGCGCCGGTGCTCGTAGTTGGAGATTTGGCCACCAGAGGCCGGCAGCGGCGCGGCGGCGCACGGCAGCGCTGGCTGTGGGAAGGCGAGGCGGGCGAGGCAGTCGTCACTCGACTAGGGTCTCACTCGCTCACGCGTGCATTCGCTCCGCGCGTCCGCAAATCCGTGTCGTGCTCATCGTCGTCGCGGACCTCGCGTGCAGTGCGCGCGCGCGTGTGTGTGTCTGTGTCTGTGTCACGCCAGCCCTGTGGATTATTCGGCTTGAAACTATTTTTTTTGTGCGCGCCGTCCCTTTCCAAGGCCACTCCATGTGGCGCGTATTGTCGGTGCTGTGATTGTGGGGGAGTGAGAATGAGCGGCGGGGCACAAAAACAGTGTCATGATTGCCCGGCAGTGAGTGCAGCGAGTACAATGGAGGCCGCGGCCAGCTAGACGGACCCTGTGGCAGCCCCCCGGCGGGCCTGGAGACAAAAGCGGTGAAACTCGGAACCCTGTGGAAGGGTTGTTGCGTCGCATACCTGCGCACCTACCTGCAGTCAAGTGACTGGGAGAACCTTGAACGAATCGTGCAACCGGTGACTGGTGCCAAAAAAAAGTGCAAACTGTGATCGTCATCAAGATCGGCAGCATCGAGTGCTGTAGAGAGTGGCGCTAATCTGTTTGTGCTCCTTCTTTCTGTTCCTTCCCCTCCCCTCCCCGCCGCTGCCTGACGTCCATGGCCTCGTTCGCCATGGTCGCGCACTGAACGCGGTGCTTTCCGCTACCCGGCATCACCATCGGCGACCTGGTTGTCACGGACGTGGCTGACGTGGCCGGCGCCACGTTGTTCGACATCCCCAATGGGGGCGGCCCGATGGGCGCCTCAGCCGGGCCTGCCTCCGGGGTGACGTGGTGGGCCATGATGTCGGGGGCGCCCTACGAGGACTCGCCGCCGCCGCACGCCCTGTCCACGCCGGTCACCTCACCGGGGCCGGTGGCGACGGCGGCCGTAGTGGCGCCCCCGCACACCCCATCCCTCGGCGGCAACGCGTCGTCGGCGGCCTCGTCCGCATCGCCGCCCACCTCGGCGGTGCCTCCACCCCCGACGTCGTCGGCGCCCGCCACCCCCATCCACATCCCGGCCAAGCGGCCGTCCACCGGCGGCGGCTACTCGGACTGCGGGGGCGGCGTCGGCAGCAACGACTCGTCGTCCGTCATCCGGCATGGCCACACGCAGCCCTGGAGCTACCCCGGCGCCGACATGGAGCAGCCCCACTACGGCGCGCCGACGTACTACAACCTGCCGGAGCAGGGCAGGGACTCCAGGAAGGCCGTCTTCTGGTCACCGGCGGCCGCCTCGGCCGCGCCGACGCCCACCCCTGAGTACAAGTACTCGGTGACGGCGGGGGGCGGCGCGCCGGAGCAGCCCGGCTTCGCCCAGGCGTGGTGCAACTACCCGGCCTACGCGGCGCCCAGGCACCACGCCGAGGCCGCCCACTACCTCGGCGGCGACGAGAGGCGGGGGATGGACACCACGGCCTTCTCCAGCCACGACTCGTACTCCCTCCGGAACTACCAGGAGACGGTGCCCACCACCACCTACCCGCCTCCAGGTCAGTCTACAGGTGTGTGTCTCCTAATCATTCTTTTCTTACTAACTTTTCTGCCAAGTCTTTTCTGTCTCGTCTGCATGTACTGCTGTGTAGAATAGAAACGAAAAGTGGAAGTGAAGTAGCCGTGAAATAACCGCACGCAAAAAGAAGCAATGCTTTTACATTAATTAGTGTAATGCAACCTTACCTAATTGCAAGGCATGTGCTGCGGCCTGCAAATATTCAAGATTTCATTCCGTGATTTGGTTGTCCTCACGTCTGCCTGTATGCTACACTTGCTTTTGGTGTGACTCGCCAGTCTGTCCTGGATGGGGTCTCTTTCTCTGTCGGCCCCTTTCCGTGAACCTAGCGCCTTTTGGGTAACTAATTAGCGTCTAGTAGTGTCGCGTAGTGGCTGCGTGTGTGATGCTGAACTCGCCCTCTCCCCCCCGTGATTTAGAGACAGCCTGACAGCAGCGCCCAGCCCGCCGGCTTTATGTTGTGGTGGAGGGGGAGGGGAGGAGGGGGAGGGGGAGTAGGGTGCCGGGCAGGGCGAGGCGAGGCGGCCCGCTGTGGCACTGCCGCATTCGACTGCCGCCGCTGCAACAGCCGCAGCAGCAGTTTGACCTTTTTCGGGGCCCAGCGCGCTCCGGCGAGGCCCCTTTTGTGTGCTATCTCCCTCAGCCGATCGTGTCTGACGGCGTAGGATTGACAGAAAGTCAGAAACTCCGGCCTATCCAGTGTCGCCTCCCTGCCGTCGGCCGCCCAGGCACAATCCTAATGAGATGGGACTCGCTAGAACTTAGCAGGGCCAGTGTTGTCGTCTTCCTTTTTCGATTTTTATTTTTCCACCTGGAGGGATTTGGGGCGGCAAGGCACGCTGCGATCGACAGCCGTCGTGTGATCCGAAAAGTTACAGTGGCAGTCGCGAAAATGCAGTCGTCAATAGCAGCAGCAGTCGGGCCGGTCTAGGACGGCACACTATCGCATAAATTGACCCAAACATTGTCACAAATTCGCACACACATACACACACACACACACACTCTCGCACGGACGCTGCGCAGTCGGATGGCCATAAAGTAGGTTGACGCGCCAAGATTGGCAGAGGGTACGTGGCACATGTTCCCACAATGCAAGCTCTGAGTGCAGAGCGAATGCCTCCGCAGGCTGAATGAATCTCCGTCTCGCTCACTCCTTCCCGCGGCGTGTCGCCCTTGCAGTCCTTCCTCCTCACCTGCCGGACTTTTGTGCCGCAGCCCGTCCTCCTCCGCGAATCCCAGCCGCCCAGGCCCTCCCCCTGTTTCCCCTGCAGCCGCTCGTTTCGCGAAACTTGATCGACAGGAATTTTCGGGCGAGCTGCGCGCGTGAGGATTCGCACTACATAAATTACGCTTTAGTCGATAGCGCTGTGCTGTGCTGCGCTGCGCTGCCCCTCCCTCCCCTCGACCCCGTCCTCCCCTGTCTATAACTTACGCTTACTCCTGTCCGGCCTGTAAGCCAAACTTTAAACCGGCGACCGACTTTAGCGTCCGCGTTTCGCAAATTGAGACATCTGGCGCGCGGGGGCCGGCCGGCCGGCTAGCTGTCATTCAAGGCGCGTCGTCGACCTCAAAAATCCGTTTCAGCCCGATTTTTATACGCGAGCTGCCATGAATGGAGGTGTAGTACACTGTAGTACGGCCGGCGCGGGGCGGGGAGGGGGGGCGTAGTAAAGGGTGGGGGCGTCCTATTGTTATGGCGCACTAAATACACCTTTATTACGCAAGGGCGGTGCGCGTGGTCTGTCACTGACCTGCACATCACATGATGCGAACAACATCGCGCAACGGCCGCCAGTCCGTCTGTTCGTCCGTCCGTCCGTCCGTCCGTCCGTCTGTCTGTCTCTCTCCCCGTCCGCCTGTCTGTCTGACTGCCTCTCCGTCCGTCGGCCGCCTGGCGACCTGCCAGCAGCGCGGACACCCGCTGCGATTCTGTGCCTTCCTCTTGCGCCTCTGTGGGCGACCGAGACAAAGTTTGAAAACCTCAGTGAACTCGCACGCTCAAAACGCTGGTGAATTTTAGCCGGATTTGCTGATTTTCTCTCCATATTATTTTCTTTCTAAACGTTGAGCAGTTACCATAAATTCAGCCGACTTATTTTTTCACTCCAGGCAGTGTTTTCTGTTGTTGGGCAGGCCTCATAGGTGTTTTTGGTGGAATAATAATGGAAAAGGAAAAAAAAGGCAACCTTGGCGCTGCCTTGAAGGACTTTGTCATTATCGCGCTGCCTGGGCGCCTTGCATTTGCATCAACTCACATGGTAGCGTTTTCCAGCGGAGGGGTTTCCTCGCGCTGCTGTGCGCTACATCAATGCAGATAGGGCCTCGGACAGGCCTCATCTCTCTCTCTCTCTCTCTCTCTCTCTCTCTCTCTCTCTCTCTCTCTCTCTCTCTCTCTCTCTCTCTCTCTCTCTCCGTTATCAACGGCAATCTGTTGCGGGCAGCGAGTGAGTGTCAGTCGACGTCAGAACCCCTTTGTACCATTTGCATACGGATGGCTTTCCGCGACGATTGTTGGAGCTCCACCCGGTCGAGCTCATCTCTTCCTACGATTAACATTCATACGAGCCGCTGCCACTGCCGGCACCGCGATGACACGTCGGGGACCCGCGACCCCGTTCCGGATTTTCCCTGAGGTCGGAAAAGCGCGAAGCTCGGCGAAGCACGCCAAAGCACGCCGAAGCACGGCAAAGCACGGCAAAAGCGCACGCGGCGGCGCGTGTTTACAAAACACACGCGAGGCGGGCGTTTACGCGGTGGCTCCACACCACGTGGTGTCTGGCTGTCCACCTCCCCCTCAGACGCGTGCGGCCCCGCCGGCCCCGCGGCCCGCCACCGTAAAGACTGCTTTATGGCCCGATTGAGCCTGACTTGCCCGGCGTCAACAATTTAACCGGCCGGTGCACGCTTCGCGACGCTTCGGCGCCAATTCGCCGTCAGCTGACTGCCACCTACGCCGATCAAAGTACCGTCCACTCGAAAAAGAATTAATTGAAAGAAAATAAAAGAGGGCCGGTGGGAAGTGTCTGGCTCTGTGGCCACCCGCTGTCTCTGTCGCACTTTTCTCACTCTCGGTTTCAATTGCGCCATCCCGCTCGCACACTTGTTGCCAGCCCGAAAGGGACTCTTTTCTTGCCGTCCCTCGGTCGATAAAAGTAAAGGAAAAAAAAGAAAGAAGGAAACCCGTCCTATTTTTGCCGGAGTCCGGTAGCCGCCGCGCGCTTATGGGTCAGACCTTATCGTTTCTCCTTTTCTTCTTCTCCTCCTTCTCCTCCCTCTTCCTCTTTGCCGACTTGGATCTGGATTGTCGAACCTTCAACCTGCCACACCTCCAGTGTGTGGGTTGGGGTGCCGGCGTGCGTGAGTGTCTGCGTATGTGTGAGTGCGTGCGTGCGTGTGCGACTGTGTGTGTGTGAGTGCGTGCGAGCGTCCGTGTGTGAGTGTGCGTGTGTGTTGGGTGCCGTGCTAATGGCCGTCGGCCCAGAGCCTCGCTAGTTCCCCGCGCCGCCGATAGATGTCGCGGGGATGTCTCCTCGCGGCCGTTCCCCCGCTTGGATGATCGGTGTCGATGATGACGCGGGGCAGGGGGAGCGGGGCGAGCAGGGCGAGGGGGACGGGGTCGTCCGTATCGCCAAGTGCTCTGGGTTGGACCCCAGACTGACCCAGACTTGCCTTCTTCCTGTCGCCTTTCTCTGTGAATAACTTTTGTCCCCGCTTCTCCCACAGCCAGTCCTTTGCTTTCCTTCGGCAGGTCGCGGGGCGCCAGTGTATCCTTTTGTCTGATTGTTTCTCGACCCTTTTCTGCAAAATTTCGCCTTCTCTTTTCTTTTTTTTTTTTTTTTTCTTTCCCTTTTTTTGGCTCTGGGCATTTTGCGTCATCATGATGCGCTGTCACATCTCTTGCTGCTGGTTCCCCCAATGCTGCATGAACGAGGGAAGCCCCTTCTTAATCTCTCTTTCTCTCTCTGTCTCTCAGTCTAGTAATCGAAGCTCGCATTCTGTCCCTCCCTTTTCTGTGGCAACAATCCAATTAGGTAAATGGTATCCAGTGTCTTCTCAAGCGGGGCTGCCCCTCGTCTCCCCCCACCCCCTCCCCCTTTTCGGGGCTCATACATTTCCGAACATTACGGCTCTGGGTTCGGGGCTGAGAGGAGGTGTTTTCGTTCAAACCTTTAAAATGAGACGCAGCGCCAAAGCGATTGTTTCCTCTGCTGTCACAGGACCGTAATTAAGACACCTTGAAAATAAAATAGAACGCTGTTTAGTTTTTTTTTTTAGTGTTCTCTCCAGGCGGCTTCCCGCGTGGGCTTTGGAAATGCCGACTGAACCTTGTTTTTCCAACCGGAACCACTTAGCCTCCAGGCCAGGCAACGCGCCAAAAATATAGATTGATCGTGCTGTGACAGTTAAATTGAGACATCTTCAATGTTGAGTCCGTCCACAACTTGTGAGAAACTGCCGAGCTCCGTATTATTCAAAGCGTATTCGTTTACCCTGGCCTTGTCGCATCAGCTGTTCGGAAATTAAGATGCCCGATGAATATTTCGTTTTCCGGACACGACTTTCCATTTCAAATTTCTCATAGCACCACCTGCATCCCGCCGCGTGGGCAAAGTGACATTTTGCAGTCATTCGCGTGCAAAGGAATGCACCGGTCCTGTTGGGTGAGGGGCGGGGAGGCGGTGGGAATAAGGAATAGTGACGCAGAGAGAGAGAGAAAGAGAGGGAGGAGGGGGAGGGGGTCTGCGGCGCACTCCGCGGGCTTCGATCGTAAATAAGAATGTTGGAAAAGGACGGGCAGGGCGGGTCGGGGAGGAGAGAGCGAGAGAGGAGACACGACTCATTGGCTGCGTGTCTGCGGCGTGGCTGGCCGGCCTATGGGTCGGGCTGTGTCGGGTCAGCCGGGTTAGGCGGAGCTCTGCGAACGCGATGCAGCACAACAACAACAACAACAGTTAGGCCCTGCGGCGGTTATTCAGAGACTAACTAGCGTGTCCCCTACTTGAGCAGTCCCCGGTGCGCCACACCCGACCCCCCGACCCCTTCTTCTCCTGCATGTGGGAACGGCCTGGCTGCAATGAGTTTTGACTGACGTCCCCGTTCGGTGTGTTCCAGGTTCGCTGGGAGTGACCTGCGGCTCGGGGCCCAACCCGCTGGAGTGGACGGGCCAGGTGACGGTGCGGAAGAAGCGCAAGCCCTACTCCAAGTTCCAGACCCTGGAGCTGGAGAAGGAGTTCCTCTTCAACGCGTACGTGTCCAAGCAGAAGCGGTGGGAGCTGGCGCGAAACCTCAACCTGACGGAGCGGCAGGTCAAGATATGGTTCCAGAACCGGCGGATGAAGAACAAAAAGAACTCGCAGCGGCAGGCGGCGCAGCAGAACAACAATTCGAGTTCGGCCAGCAACAACAATCACCATCACCACACTAATCACCACCCCGGGCACCACACGGTGGGGGGGCCCACCCACCCAACCAACGGGATAGCAGTCAAGCATCATCAGTGACATACGCCTTACCCTGGCGTGGGGCACGGCTTTAGCCACCCACACCAGGGCATGGTGTCGTAGAGCCGCTCGACTACCCGCGAAACGAAAGAGCTGCTCTGGGCACCCCAGAAAGGACGTTCGTGACGGCCAGCGTCACCACTCTTATTTATATGTAGTTTGTCATTTCGAAACTGAGTACAAATAATAGTGCGGCCGCGGGGGCAGGGGCGCTAGGCCTCCCCCGCCGCGCCCGATTCTTTAGTACTTTGCTGCCATCGGTTGCTGCGGACACGAAGGAGACTCCGGACGAGAGATGGACTCGAAAGGGATCTTATCTTTTTCATTGTGATTTTAGTCAAACCCATTCATACCAGTGTTAATTATAAGACGATAGTATTATTTGAAATACTGTATTAGTGGTTGTAAAGGTAAACTAATGAAAGGACACGGAGTATGTTTAGTTGAGAGGTGGAGATTAGTGTCTGTTACTTTACTGACCTGTTTTGTTTTATTCTGGTTATTATCCAGCACCCTCAAATGTGTGTGTTGTTTTGTTTGTTTTTACTTTTCCTTCCATTGTTTTTATTAAAACTGAAAGAAATACCAGGTTTGTTTGTTATGTCTGTAAAAATTTGTATTTAAAAGTAAATCTACCCTAGTGAGGTAGGATATATGAAAATACTGGTCTGATATGTATCACTACAGTTTTTAAGTATGTGTAAAAACCGGCCATTTTATAAATTGCAATTTGAATTACGTTGTGATAATATGCGTGTCGGAGATGGCGCTGTATTCGTGTGTGTGGATTACGGCAGGCCAACGCATGTATGGTTTGATCATAGTCCAGACAGAGAAAATAGTGACATTTCGAATCTTAATTGGATTTTATTCCTTAGATGTTTTATTTAAAATTGTACGTAGTAGGCTACTAATAATGAACCCAACGATTCGGTTGTAGTTTCATAGTGATCTCTCAAGAGCACGTTCTGTTATATGTAAAGAAATTAAAGCAAAATCGTTTATCTTCATTGAGTATCAATTTCTGTTATTCTAGTCGATTTTATGTTGAACGACTTTTTCAAGCAGAAAAGAGAATTTAAGTACATGCAAGTATTCCAGTTACTGTTTCCCACAATGTTTTGCTTCTGGGAAGGCGGCTGCTTTGCCGCTGCCAGGTGTGCAATAGCTAAGTCCTATGTAGCCTAGTGTACATAAGTGCGTCATAGACTGTGATCAGAATCCACTAGCTCACATCACCGTGAAAAGAACTCAACCATTCGTTGAGCGCGTGAGTGAGAATGAGAGAATGCGAGAGAGCATCGGGCCCGTCCTAATAAACCATTTGCACTCGACCGTTACAGTTGAATTGCTACTCCAAGGTCCGCTCTGTTACCACTATTATTTTCCCTGCGTTTCACAAGAAAAAAGAGTAAAATTACTTGCAGTGGTTCAGCGGACGGATCTGATCTCTCTGAGTGCCTGTGTATGTGTGACTTAACGAGTGAATGTATCTATGTGTGTGTGAGTGAGGGAATGACTGCGAGCGTTCATGTTGATGTTTGAGTATGTGAGTGTGTAAAATCATTCGTAGAAATTCGTCAATGGTTTTTGCCACTGTAATACAACCTTATTAGCCCTCTACGTTCAATACGTGTAAGAAAAAGTAATACTCTCATGTTTGAAAAATTGATTTAAAATGTCAAGTAAGCCATGTCCTTTTCTAAGTTCGAAGTCAATTCTTTCTAACCCAGTTTTACAGTCACCTCGTTTATTTCCAAGGAAAGAGTACAAATATATAAACAGAGGAAGCAACTTCTGGGTGAAAACCATCAAAACTATTCTCGAGAGGTGAAAATTTCCACTTTAAAATTGAATATTTTTATCTAAACTTGTCTCATTAAAGATATGTCAAAATGTACATATAGCTCTGGCTTACAATTAAGAAATGGATAGCTATGCCGACAGGTCTTGTAGCTCCTATTTGGATGTTCTGTGCGATAATTTAGTGTGAATACCTAGGAAAGCTCATAATAAGTCATTTCTAGTATTAAATAATTTTCACACTATCATTCAGTACAGAAAATTCATTGCGTACTAGTGCGATAAAAGCGATAATTCTTTAACCACACGCACCTTCTGGAGTGACTGAGGATAACCCGATCGCAGCCTGCCAACGTTGCAAATTTTAAAAAAATTGTTCATCGTGACTTAACTACCCTGTACTTATCGCTTTTAAATTTGATCTCGAAAGATGTAGGTTGCGATGTAAGTGTTTTGGAGTTATGTTCAAATCGAATCCTTTACGGGATTTTCTGAAGTGCCAAACTCACTGGAGTGACACACCACTCTTTATTGAGAAGTTTACGATCAATTATTGCAAGTTGGTGAGCTGAGTGCACACCTCAGTAAACTCAGAGGTCTTGTTAAAACGTAGTCACTTTCTTAATTTGTACGTATTTAATAGAAATTTTTGTTTCAAGTTTGAGCAATTTATTTTACAATTTGTTTACCGCCCCTTTTCTTTTTTGTTTTCATCTGTTTATTGTGCCGTACGTTTATTTTGTTCTTGTGTTCATATAACTACTCTTTCCTATCCTGAGGTACCAAAATGTTGCTGTTCAAGGAGTGGAAATCAGTGTATATGGTGTAAAGAATTTTCGATGACCTAAGCTTTAAAATTTACATTTATTTTGTACTTGAGTAAATGTGTAAAGTATGTATTTTACTGCTGTTTAATCCCTCTTTTGTTTGTTCAAAGTACAGTTGACGTTGTGCATGTAGTTAAGATTCTTGCTATTAAAGACGATATTATAAATGTACTGAAAGTCCTCAATTGTGCATAACAATGTTTATGATACCTATTGCATTAAAGTATTGTAGGTATCCTAAAAGAGTAAGTCGCTGTGTTCCCATTTATTTCCCTGCCCCATCACAATAAAAAAAAACCACTAGCCAGTTCACATAAAAGTCAAAACAGTAGTGCACGTTTTTTTATAAAACATGAAAACTGAAACCATTCCAAGGGGGCAACTCGTACAGGCGTAACAAATACCTTGGATGTCAGAGAAGGCCAAAGTAATCGAGAGGGAATGCCGCCGCGAGGAAGACGACGCGCCTGGCAGGAGAGAGAGAGAGAGAGAGAGAGAGAGAGAGAGAGAGAGAGAGAGAGAGAGAGAGAGAGAGAGAGAATGGGAGACGGACAGAGAGGGTGCGACGGGGAGGGAGATGCCGGTAGCGCTCTCGCGCGCGCGCCCGAGAGACAGAGAGTGAGAGAGAGAGAGAGAGAGAGAGAGAGAGAGAGAGAGAGAGAGAGAGAGAGAGAGAGAGACGCAGGTTGGGTGATGCTGGCGCGGCGCGGTGCGTCGCGACGCGCAGCAGCGCCCCGAGCTCGGTAGTTGCGCAGGCGGCCGCCAGATGGCAGCACCCGCAATGGCGTCCAGAGCGCGCGCCACCGGCAGCCGCTCAAGAAGAGCCTGGGCATGGAATCCGAAGGTCGACACTTCCAAGGGGCAAACGCTCAGGGACAAACATTTTTTGGAAGTACCCCTCGTTGCGCACCACGCATAATGAAGCAGCATCCCGGGCATGCAGGCAGCCGATCCACACACAGAATCGATCACTGGAAACAGACTCCATAGAACGCAGGCAGACAGTACGCACCGCCAGCGTCCTACATTTTGGCAAAGTAATACAATCTCCCGGGCCTGGTCCTTGTTCTGGTGGAATTGCCTAATCGTGTTTGGTTGCATGTGCGCGTGCAAACCCTGCAACCCCTCCGCGCAGCCCCCCCCCCCGCCCCCGGGCACTGCCGCCCCCACCACGCGGCCATCCCCCAAGGTCCAGCTCTCCCACCCTCGGCGGCCCGGGCCCGGGCCTGCCCGGCAGGGGTGGCTGGAGGGGAGGTTTAGCGTCCGGCCGCCAATGCGCTGCCGCCACCGCCGCCGCCACCCCTCGCGCCCCGCTCGGCCCTCGCACCGCGTTTCGCCGCGTTTCGCGACCCATGTTGTTTCTTCCGCCCCTTTCGACTCGCCTTCTTAGTTCTGTTTGGCTTCAGAACGTCGATGATTCCTGTTCTGTTCTTGTTTGAAGCATTCAGTGCAAAATCCGGTAGAATCTAGTCCAGCTTTCATCGCTCAGTACCAATTATTTCACTTAACCGTACTTAATATGCAGGCAGGAGAACTTGCTGTCAATCTGAGCGTCCTTTTTATCCACTGCAAGTTCAAAATCTGTCATCTTTGTTTTAATAAATATATTTTCTGCTGAACGAAGGATTTCCTTCTGGCACCTGTCCCGTGCCGTGTTGGTATTCCCCTGCACGCCCGTCCCGCGCCGTCCGCCCCCGCCGGCCGCCGCGCCCTGAGCTGCTTCCGCCGGCCGCCGCGAGGGGGCGCTGCTGCCAGCACGGCGTCCTCCAGCCGCACTGGAGGCAGCAGGACGCGCCTCGCCGAAAGCTCGCCGTCCCCTATTTGGCCGCAAGATGGCAGCACCGGCCGACGGGAAGGGCGGCGAGAAGGGCAAGCGCTTGGCAGCGTCGTCTGCTGCGAGCCAGCCGCCAGCGGACGGACGCGGAGACACAGACGAAAATGAAAGTAGGGTTGATTGCAGTCGAACCGCAGGATTCCTCCCTGTTCGACTCCCAGCCACAGCGAACAGATTGTCAATGGCTATTGCCATGTAGAGCTTTGATCGGTTCAGTGCCAATTTAGCTGGTTCTTTTGCATTTCTGAGCGCACAATGACGTACGAGGAGTGGAGCGACGGAAACTGTACGTGCAGGCCCAGGTATCCCGGTGCATCCAAGAAAACGCTACGTCAAATTTTTTGATTGCTCTGCGTCAAACACCACAGTGCCACAGAAAAAAACCAACCAACTCACGTTAGTTATAGAAACAAAAAATACCAGTCTTCATTTTTGCTTTAAAAAAAAGTCAATAGTACGTGGCCGTGGACTCGGCGACGCGCGGCTGAGACAGACGCACGCTGCTGATTGGTCGCTGACTCACGCACGCTCGTAAAGAATATCATTTTGTACAACACGCTGGATTGGGGCCCCGCAGTCCACGGTCGAGAAAAAAGGGGAGGGGAGGGGGGCAAGGGCAGTCGTGCAGACTACAACACAGGCGGCACGTTCACGAGCAAACCAAGCGCCTGGAATGTCTACTCCAGTGGGATCAGTCCGTCGGAGAGACCGATTGTACGCCGGGTTGCCTACCCTCAGTGTCACTGTGGTCCAACGTAGCCTGCCCACTGCGGGCCTCAGGGCCGTAGTACCGCCTAAACGGCGAAAGGAAGTCATCCTCAGAAGCTTCTCAACCCACGTCAACGACCCTGTGCCACGCAACCTCGAAAACGCTTGGAAACGCCCAGGGTAGGCCGGCCTGTTACGCTGGGGAGTGTTGCGGGCCTGCCTACCCGCCAGGCGCTCCGCCGGGACAGACATGCAGGGGTCGACTGCGTGCACGCCGATGCGGACGGCTTAATGCAGGACCGCGCGCGTGTGTCTTTGCGAGAGGCGCGTCTGTGTGCGTGTGTGCGAATAAAAGGGGCCTTCCTTCCTGGCCGGCCGCGCGCGCGCGTGTGTGTGTGCGTGTGCACGGGGTATCTCCGCCATCACACAATAGTTAATGACCTCGGAGCGCGGGGTATATCCCGCATGGAAGGTCATCACCAAACACACACTCACACACACGCATTCCTTTGAACGTCTTGGCACTGTGATAGTTCCGGGAGTCGGCGCTAGAGTTCGCTGCGGAGGGTGGCATCGTCTGCTCGCATCGAACCCTCGTCTCGCGATGACTTTTATGGAAGAGCCTTCCTCCTGGACGTCCTGGACGACGTCCTGGACGGGGTTCCCGCTTCTCCCTCCAGAGGGCGCGTCGGCCGTTTTTGAGGACACTATCATCATCTTTCGCGCCATGCGTCGCAGTTTCTGCCGCGGGGAGTAGCGACGCGGACTCGGCTGCAGAAAGAACCAACGCTGCGCTCCCAAGCCTTTTACAAGGAAAATTTGAAATTCGCAAAACCAAAAAAACATTGATTTTTTTTTTTGCTCACATTTGAAGACAGAGCTACATTTTCAAAATATAAAATACTGCAGAGGAAAGAAGTCTTATTCTTAGTTTGATTCGTAAAAGAAGTTTCGTATGGATGATGAAAACGTCAAAGATTTGCGGACGACATTTTCAGGCTCCCGTTCGATGGAGACTTGGGTGCAAGGGTTCATTCCGTTGGGAGGAAATAATATTGGCCGTTCTCCGTTCGCTCCATGGCCACCGCACTGCCCGGGGTGCCTGTCGCATTACGGATGATCATTCTGTCACCGTGTGTCTGTCGCACTCATACAGCGTCCCGTCTCGTAGGGCTGTAAGAGAGACAGAGTGGTGAACCGATGCTTGGCCCGGTGACGACGGTCTTCGCTTTCACCGACACAAAAGCAATGTCGGTGGTAGTCAGTGGAGTCCCTGTTTTTCCGTTACGTATTCAGACCGTTTGTGTCCAGGCGCCCTTCACAAGGAAAGAAGAAGAGAAGGACGAGACCGGCGAGCAGCGGTTCTCGAGGGTCTGCGGGGCGTCTGCGAGCAAACACCTTCGCCATCCGGAGGCCCCCGTCCGGAGGGTCGAGGTAATGCCCGTCCTCGCCCTCCTCGAGAGCGAGAGTGGAGTAAACATTGCTCTAATTAAGCGGGCCGAGCGGCTCGACCGCCAGCGACCTCTGGCGGCCGCGCTGCAACCCCTGGCTGATCAAGAACCTACCCCCACGGCCACGCCCGGCCACGCCAACCCCCAGCGCGCAGTCTCCCTTCTCTCTCTCTCTCTTCTCCGCTTTGCTCCGCTCCCCTCCACACTTGTCCTTCACCTCTCTGCACTCACATCACTCACACACACGTCAGACCGGTGTACTGTGTGCGTGTGAAGGTGCGCCCCCACCCCCACCCCCTTCTCGCTCTCTCCTTCTCTTCCCCGTCCGCCTCCCTGTGCCGGCGGCTCGCCCCGTCTCTCTCGCACCCACGGCCGGGGCGGCCGGCTCCACGTTTACGATTGGGGGAACGTCCGTCCGTCCGTTCTTCGGTATAAAGAGAGGCAAAGTGTCCCTAAAACTTTTACAATCGCCATGGTTGATGGCGTATCTTCCAATGCACGGAGCCCATAACCTAAGATGTACCGCGCGCTGCGCCGGCCCGGCCGCCCAGCCCGGCCACGGCACAGCTCCACCCGCCGGCAAGGACCGCCCCTTCCACGTGTGCGCCTTGCAGCCGGGCCTCGCAGCCACTCGTTTCCTTGCCGCCGTCCTCGTTAGACGTCAAAACTCGCGCGCAGACGTCGACGCCGACGTCACCGCCGCGCCGACGCCGCCGCCGGCCGCGCCGCGGACGCCGCGAGGACGCCGTCGACGCCGTGGGCTAGGTCGGACACGGGCAGCGCTCCGCGGGAACCACGCCAGTCGACGGGGACCTGGTGCCACTCTGTCTGCAGGGCCTAACGCTTCTTGTTGTTCTCTTCTTCTTCTTCTTCTTCTTCTTCTTCTTCTTCTTCTTCTTCTTCTTCTTCTTCTTCTTCTTCTTCTTCTTCTTCTTCTTCTTCTTCTTCTTCTTCTTTCCGCAGCTTGTTGCTCTACCTCGCGGGCCCCGCCACCCACATCCCCGTCGGCCGCTCACTCCATTGTGTGCAGTGCATCCCGCTTCTTCCTCTCCAGCTGTCATCGCCGAGGTGCAGCGCCCCGCGGCTGGCGAGGCTTGGCGGTGGCCGTCTTCACCTCGGCGGGGCGCGGCGGCGCGGGGCTCTAGGCTGCCCCCTCCACTCCCGCCTCCCCCACCTCCTCCCCCGTCCACCCTTCTGGCCGTTCTCTCTGTCCTCCTCGTCCTCCTTCGCGCGGCGCGGCCGCTCCCCCTCTACTTCCCGTCGTCATTCGGTAGTTATTCTTTTATAGCGAAAACCGAGGCGGTTCCCTTCTGCTTCGCAAGTCAGTCAAAGTAAGTTTTCCCCCGTTGCTCATGAGTGTGACATCGCGGGGAGTGAGGGAGTGCGTACCTGACCGCAGGCTGCGTCCACGTGATCCTCGTCACAGTCTCGTCAACCCCGTCGGCGTGGACGGAGCGCGCCGCGTCGGCCGCCGCCGGAAAGTCACCCCCGCGTCGTGCGTTCAGGTCTCCGCCGCGACCGCGCCGCGACCGCCCCCGTGCCGACAGTGCGTCCGCGTGAGTGCGTGTTGAGCGTGCGTGCGTGTGTGCTCGTGTGTGTTTGTGAGTGGGCTCAAGTGATTTCGTTGTGAGCTTGACTGTGCTTTGTTTTATTCTGTTGATTTGGTTGGCCTCGTAGGGAGTGCATAAGCTTAAGCTGTTGTTTACTTTTTTCTGTTGCCAATCCGCGCGTGTTGCGTTTCTCTGCAGTTTTCAAGCCAGTAGTCGCTTGGTTTTGTTTTCGTTTGCCTCTGAAGAAAGTGATAACAGTGCTTCGAATGTGTTACGTGTGTGTCTGAGTGGAAAAGTGATAGTGATACAGTGCTGCTCGCGTGATTCGTGGAGACGACAAGAGTCTCAAGCCAAGCGTGTGTGCGAGAGTGTGTGTGCGCCAGTGGCGTGCCAGTGGAGGAGACAGTGCCCCCCCGTGAGGAGTACCTGTTGATTGGAGGGGCATATGTGGCTGGCGTTCAAGACGCCTGGATGTGGCCGCCATCTTGGAAAGTGCCGCGACTGTCACCGTTCCCCGCGGGAAGCCTGCCAGGTGAGTGAGAGAGCACGAGTGCCTCAAATAAACAGCAAGACTTTGCCGCGCAGCGGCAGACAGCCGAAAAATGTTTGGTTCTTCAGAACAAAAAGTTTGTACCGCTTGTTTCTGTGGTATTTTGGGCCGAGAGGAATGTTATGTGATCTACACACGACATCCACTTCAATCTCGGCAAGTTTTCTGTGATTTGAATCGGATTTTAGACCGAAACGTGTGAGTTTGGACGCCACAGCTGCGCCGGGCTGCCCTCGCCGCCATTTGCAGGCTCGGCGTCGGCGGCGCGGCGGCGCGCCCATAGCGGTGGCCCGCTCGGTGCCAGCTCATGCACTCTCGCTTTTGCTCTTGAGAAATCGAACTCACAACCGGCTGCGGTAAAATGTTGTTCATTGCTTCAGATAGTTGTCTTTGTCTCCCTCCTGGGGGGCGGTGCCGCGGCGCGCGGTGGGCAAGACAACTCCGCCCTTGCCGCCGTGTGTGCGACAAGAAGTCGTGGCACCGTGCCAGCGCGACAACGTTCCGTGTGAACGTGTCGGCTGTGTTTATTCTCGTGACGTTTTAATCCGACGTTCCTTCAGGTTAGGTTAACTTTGTATTTCATGGTCGAAGAAAAGGTTGGCAGCACTTTGGCTCTGGCAAGTTGAATGGATTCTAAATGGGTGGTTTCTGCAACCTCGGGTTGTGTCGTTGCCCAGTTGAATACCTTTGAGTTTTGCACATACACCTAGGAGCTAGGCTATGGGTGTAGGAACAACTCGTCGTTGAATAATTTCTTTGGTAAGGCATGAAACATTTGGAGATTTGATTCTGGCCGGCAAATGTGGTTCACCCATGTCGATTGCAGTCGTTTCGCAGCTTAAATCGAGACATCATTTTTCTCTGGGTGAGAGTGTGCAAAGCACTGCTTTACATGTCCATGTCCAAACAATATTTACACATTATGATAAACGAAATCGGCATCGCTCTCTCCTCCCCACACGCCCCTGTCTGCTGCACCAGCCCGCAGTCCCCCGCCTCCGGCTCGGAGGTCAGCGCATTATCGTGATTGGCCGCCGGGATACTCGAAGGCGCAATCGAGTAATCGAAGGCGCCGCGCATCGCTGCACCGAGTGCCAGTAATGGGATGGCCCTTCCCTTCCCCTCGGAGGGGTGAGCCCGACCGCCTCTCTCAGCCAATCTGCTGCACGGTCATTTACATTCCGTCTCTGTTTTCGCTGGGCCCTGCGGCTCTGCAGCCCTGCATCCCAGTGGCCCTGCAGCCCCGCACGCGTGACGGAGCCCAAGATGGCGGCGCCGGCTTCATCAGGCCAAAGTGCTGCGCTGTATGATCAATATGACAGAGGGAACGACACACAGCGTTTATAGTCAGTCGCAGTTCCAGCGCGCGATAAAACCACCCAGGGTTGTTGTTGTTGTTCTTGTTTTCGCCCCGTGGGGTTGGCAGGGGTTGCGCGCTGCCGCCGCCATGCTGCACGACCATCACCTCACCCCTTTCACCTTCGGGTGCACTGCTGCTGCCATTTGTTTCGTACGCCGTCAAATCGATAAAAAAAAACTTTGAAAAAAGCAAACGCGAAAGAAAGACACAAAGAAAACAGGGCGAAGCTGCCACCAATTAGCGTTGTTTGATGTTGACCGCTTCGGCGGTGCAAGGGTGTTGCCCTTCACACGCTCCGCAGATCAAACATCTTTTTTCGCTAATGGCGGCAACCCGTCCCGGTGGTCTCTGGCGACAAGCCGTCCCCTCCACGGCCGGGCCGGCGACCGCCTCTTCGGCGACTCTGTGTATAAAGTTGATTATGCAAAGCCCCTCGAAATCATATCTGTCCGCGTGAGAACGTTTACATGAAACTTTGTTGCCGCGTCGCCATGTTGGCGGTCTGAGTCTGGCTGCGACTCGCAGGGAGGGTTTCTCGGAATAAAGTCTGCGGCCGCTTGATTACCCTGACGCCGACCGCGCGACATTTTCGCCGTTTCTTTTTTTTTTTCCCTGATCGCCTTTTTTTCTTCAGTTTCTAAACGAAGCTGTGTAGCGTTTCGCACAGTGCCGTGCCCCAACATGTGCCGGACACGGCGATTCACGCGGGAGCGGCGAGCGGCCCGTTTACAACGCGATTGGAGGCTGGTCGTGGGGGCGGCCGTTCCGGGCCGTTCTCTGCCGTTCTCGGAAAGCTGGCCGTCTGCCACACTGCAGTGCTGGAAAGTAGGTCAAGCGGCAAGGGAAACGATATGCACGGCCGGCCCTCTAGCTCCCTTGGCCCGTCGGGAAGACGAGCAAAAAAAAAAGGATGGATTCCATGCAGTGTAGGGAGAAAGTGCGGCCCCGCTATTACCATACAGGGTGGAGCCCTCCACACAATCAAGCCAAAGGGTGGCCCCGTGTTTGGACTGGTGCACTGTACACACCGTATACAAATGAGGGGAAGGGTCATCTGCCTTTGGCCACGCCGCGCGGGTGGCTTTGCTTTCCGGGTACGCTCCGAATTTCTCCGCGTCTCGGAATGCCGAGGTGCTGTCTCCACATGCATCCGCGTGTTGGACGCCGCGGGGTGCATCTGACTGCCGCTCTCGGCCTTTTCTTATATTGATCCCCCTGCGTGTGTGTGTGTGTGTGTGTGTTCGTGTGTGAGACGCCTCGAGTAATCTGCCTTGTTAGTTCCCAAGGCTCGCGGGGCCCGCGCTGTCGAGCGCCGTGTTATCTTGACAGGTAAATGTGCTCCCCGGCAAACGAGGACTAACAGCTTGTGGCACTCGCAGATAAAGGGGTTCGGGCTGCAGCCGTGCAAAGCAGTGGTAGTACACAATGTTGCTGATATTAAAATACCCTCCCGGCCGCGCCGCGCCGCCCCGCGGCCTCGGCGCCACACACTGCGCCTAGCGCGGCGGTGAGGGCACTGGCAGTGCACTGGCAGCGAAGCCGCCGGCGTCCCCGAGATCATTGGCTAGATGTGGCTCGACCAGCAAAAAGCAGCGAAAATAAAAATGCAGTCGGTTTCCGCTGGGGACCCACTCGGCCAGTCCGCGGCTCCGCGCTGCAGAATGTCACCCCCACGCGGCTCGAGCTCCACCCTCCACCCCTTCTCCACCCCTTCGCTACACCCCTTCGCTACACCCCTTGTTACGATCCCAGGCACTGGCACTTGAGTGCTCAACGAGGGCATTACAACCAAAATGTTGCAACGGTAATCCCCCCGCCGCCCCCCACCCCCCGGCCCGGTGCTCCGTCTCCCTCTGGCGTCCTCGCGGGACGGAGAGGGAGCACATCTCGGGGTCTCCCTCAAAAACAAATCTCGGCAGTCGCCATGACGACGACACGCCGGAAGGAGGGCGTCGCCTCCGGCAGGGGCGCCGTCGCGGAGGTGCCGAGGACCGCGTCGACGCCGCGCCACCCCTCGCGACCCCGTTCGAACCCGCGAGCAGCGCGCGCTTTGGCCACGCCACGCCGCGCTCGGCCGTCCGCGGCCGAAAGACAGTGCGACAGAGAGAGGTGTGGCTGCCCCGGCGGGCGAGCGAGCGAGTCAGTCGTCGAGCGCTCCAGGCTGAGGAAGGACCTGCCGTGCCGTGCCACTCTCCTGGCCGCCCGGCCGGCCAGGTGAGCGGCCAGGCTTCGTGCTTCTGTGCGTGCAGTGTGTCCACAAACCCAGCGCCGATGCAGCCTGCATAGTATCGAGGATGCCTGGCAGGTCGGTACGCACACCAACCCCAGGCCCCACCTTGTTCCAACAAGCAGGTTGTGTCCTTCGGGCCGGTGTACATCAGTCGGTCTTCCTCTCGGTGGATTCGCAGCCCTGCTGAGCCAGCCACCGTAACCAAGGGTTCTCTCGCCGTGCGGACTTGTGCCTGTGCCGCTCTGGTGACGTCACAGGCTTCGCAGCAAGCTGCGCCGCCCTTTGAAGTGCCCGTGCTAGGCCCAGCCGGCTGGTTTCGGCACGCTGTCTCTCTCGCACTCATGGCGCGTCGGTCAAGGGTGCGAGAGAGACAGCCCACAGGTGGGGGCGTTTCCTGTTTCTAATCCCGCGGTGCTTTATTGCCGGGACTAATTTTCCCCGCAGTGCTGCCAACCTAGTCCTGCTTTTGTTTTCGGCTCCCAGCTCTGCTGCGTTGGAGTCGGGCCGTCAGGTGGAGTCTGGCGCGAGGCAGCGACGCACAAGGCCGGTGGTCCTACGCCCTCCGACAGTTGGCGAGCCTGAATAAGGAATTGGCGTGCAGGAGTTGGTAAGGCCGAGGTAGGAAGGGAAAGGGCGGAAACAAGGGCCTCGCCTTCCCTCGCCTGTCAGTGCGAGTGGTGGGGAAAGGTGACGTCGCCAGCGTGCTAATTGACGTCATTTTCTTCAAAACCGCGTTTGATCTTAGGTTTGCCACGGGAGTTTTGTAGTGTACGCATCCAACACCTTCCAGGCAATTTGTCCCCCAGATCTGTGTTGTGTATCATCCAGTTTCTGTGCACCGGCTGTTGCCTCTGTGATTTGCATAATCCCATTGACCCCTCTGCAAAGGGTTGCCCAGGCCTCCTGTTTGCGTCGTGCTGCCCCTTTCTGCGAGGGAAAAGGGAAAGTAGCTACCCAGTCACTGCTGCGTTGGCTCGTCCCTGGCCATATAACGCCCGGAGTGCCACACGGCCCCAGGGTGCGTGCGAGACCGTCGCGGCCATCTCGCTCCCACGCACGGCGCTGCCGGGCCCTGGGCGGCCCTGAGCGGCGCGGGGGCGTCCGGACGCGGTCCGCCAGGGGTTCCAATTCCGCGAAGGCGATGCCATCTCAGCTCCAGCCTCAGGAGGAGACACACAGCTCCACCTTATGTGCCCTGGGGGGCCCCAGGCCGGGCGTGGCGCGACGTTCGCCGCCGCGCCGCTAGGGGCGCTAGCGTCGTTCCACCGCCTTGTTCTTGCCAACCGCCGCGGCGCGCACTCACCGCCTGCTACCCGCCGCCGTTGCACGCCGCGGCACGCCGCGTCCGGTGCCTCCGCCCTCTGATAGCAAGCCGAATCTCGATCCAGCGCG